AAAATGATTGGCATTATCGCTAAGCCTGACGTTAGCAATTGGCTTTAACGTAAAGCTCACATCTTTTAAAACGTGACTAAGTTAGTGACGGGTGCCCTTTGCAAATTATGAATGTTGTACTTAAACTTTAGGTTAGGAAACTGTATTGTTTCTTAATACAATGTTACTTGCCAAAGGCTTGTACTTGATAATGTATTTTATAGACCGTTTATAATAAAAGTTTTATATTTATGATTTAACTAGCTTTCGGACTCCGAACGCGTGGAATTAAAAAACAAAACAAAAGCAAGTAGCCAATGTGTTCTTCTAGATTATATTCTACTTCTATACGAAATTCCATTGAGATCTGTTTTTTGTTTAGGTAGTAAACTTTAACAACCATAAATCCATCCTTTTCTTGTGTCTGAATGGCCACTGTTTGCCTTACAGAGGCATTTACAGATTCACCAGGCTTGAGTTGGCCGAGCGCAGTTGGCTCTTAGCCTGAACCTCGTTTATGAGTAACTAAACTGAGATCAAAAGTTTTGGTCATAAACAGTATTTTTTTCATAAATTATGCTTGTGAAGACACCAACAATCAGGTAGTGTTCATAAATCACCCACTCCATAGTTAAGACTCTTGACATTTCGTTAAATATTCAACAAAACTTTATCACATAATATGTAGGCGCAAACATTTATATATATACTGACTAATCCTATAAATGTATCAACATTTAAATATGCGAATGTGTTTCTATGTGGGATTTAAGTTAGATAAGTAAATTAATATGAAAATAAAAATTTGACCAAGTATATTCCGTAATCAAGACAAATAAATGCCACCTAAATCGAAACACTAATGGCAGGTTTCCGAGCAACATTTAATCATTCGTTAGTGTTTTCGGTTCGATAATTATGCGTTTTCGAACTACTTCACTTGAGTTTTACTCCGATGAAACTTAGTTGTACCTCACACTAATGAATCACTAGATAATGATAAAATAAATGGAAACTTTAGCAACCCAGCATAAGAGCTTTGCCATCCAAAGATTGTGAGTGATGTAATTAAACTTGATGTATAAAGTGATTTAGGTATTTAGAAGGAAGAAAGATATAGTATAACGTTTTTATCACGTTCACTGCGTAAGAGGCCGATATCATCCTGACGCGGTACTTAAGCTGGTGCGGATGTGCTACGTCCCTCTCGCTAGTGTGATACGATTATTTCAGGTGTATACATAAAATGTATACATTGCGTTTTCACAATTATTATATCAATTTAATCAATCCTAGTGCTGGTGGGTCTATAAAGACCTGCCACGCACTGGAGGAAATATCATTGAGGGCGCATTTTGGCCCGCCGCCGCACCATGTAAATATAATAATTATGATTTGACTTGCCGCAGTAAAAGTGTTAATTAACTTTGACTCTCAATTTGTATACCTTTAAATTGTTTTTAAGTGTACATTGTTGACACAAATGTGGGCGCGGTATATCCGTTTAATTAATCCCAGCCGCCACTCCATGAGAATATTTTAGCCTTTCGTTTTAAAGGCTCATGAACGTTACAGTTTTACATTTCAAGTACAGAAATAATTTATGTCAATTTATCTAAATGCCAAGGTTTTCAAGTTTCAAGTGCTCTATATAAAACCTCATTTGTGTAACTGACTGTAATTGCATGTACATTGTAGTGTATCACTTATATTGGTGTTTGTTTCCATGGTCGTAATATTTGTATTAAAAAAAAGTTGTCATAATACAAATAGTCAAGTTAATCTCATGTTATTTGAAAAATGTATTATGATTAAAAGATTGATTATTATTAAAAAAAAAAAAAACAAAAACAAAATACGGTCATCACTACCTACGTTCATTTGTCATATGTACATGAAATATTTTGCATGGATATATTTAAATAGGTTACAATTTTTGAACCTTAGTTATATTCTTTTGTTTATGTTGAATCGAAGCCGCAATTTAGACAATAGTTGGACCACTTAAACTGTGCGAGGTCGTTGAATTTAGAGCAATAGACTAAAAAAACAAAATACTATGTTAATGTAAATGGTAGGCATTCATAAGTAAATTAGTATGACGAAAGGCTAGTTGCTGGATTGTTCAGCGAAAATACTACAAATATGAATGTAAAATTTCTTGCAGCCTTGACTACGTTTCATTGTGTAAACACGTATGTAAAACAGGCGTAAAAAGTGAAAAGGCAATTATTATGGTAGCAAGGTCGGTGGCGACAGTAAAAAATTATTAAAGTTAAAAACAGTTCCTACAAGGTCTTATTTGTAATATTATACGGTTATTAAAGAAAACGAGGTATGCTTGACAAAAAATAATCGATCAACAAAACTGCCGTAACGAGTGCAGATTTTTTTTATTCCAAATTTAATTTATACTTGAAATAGTCGCCGTCGACTCATATTCCACTAGTAGAATAAGCCCACTTCAATTGTATAGGGTTTTAAAGTATTGCTTACCTCAGTTTAATCTGAACAAGAATTTTCCAACACTAACCACGAGTCTACTATGTTTGAGATAGCTTGCAGCAACATTGGCGGTAATGATGCGGAAATTGTTGTTATAATCGATTGCGTTGAGACAGATTTACTTTACTTGCGTTTTATTCTGACAGCATTATTACATATTTTACGTCATGTAATTTACTAGGAATTTGTAACTAGATTTTGCGATATTTAGGCCACATTCTTTATATGGCATTTAGAAGCAAAGCAAGCAAATTTAGACTTTACAACATTCAATTTTACGATAGATTTCCATTCGTTAAACCAATTATTGTTTTTAAAGGAGGTTTGAGGTAAAATCTCATTTCAAACGACGGTATACGAACATACAAACGATTAAATTTCATCACAAACCAAGGTTACTAGTTATGATATTTAATATTTTATAATTAGTTTCCCTTGCATATCTTTAGAGTTCGATCACAACTGACAGCTCCAAATTGGACGCCAATGACCAGCTCAATCGTTAGCTACGCCTACGTTTCTCTTGTTACTCTAATGAATTCATTGTAATCGAATGCAAGGTCGATTGCGGCGTACATTATGATAGATAACCATTAAATTGGCAGCTTTGATAAGTGATACAGATCGTACGAATTAAAGCTAAAAGGTCAATTCTCTAAAGAGCAAGCCACACTAATCTAAAATTATAGCATTGTTTACATGATTTTGCATCGAGAATACTTTGATTGTAGTAACTATATATCTATACTATTATAATAAAGCGTAAACACACTTCTTTGTTGCCTAAGATGTCAGCATTAACAACATATTTTGACAGACATAAGCGTAAGCGCTTATGTCACGCTTTAGACTATATATTTTCACGCTATTAAACTTATATATTTTGGATAAAAACTCTAACGTGGGAGAGACCATAAATTGCTGCCAACATCATGGAAACATGATTACCAAGGTTTGCGTAAATTTGGTTGGATGGATAGATGTTTGTGAGAGTTTGTAGCCTAAACTGCTAAACGGATCTCGATGAAAGTTTACTATGTTATTTCATTTTAGTTATTTTTTTATTCTAGGCGAACGGAGTCACGAGCGAAAGCTAGTAGTTATATAATTGACGTTTTATAGTCTATATTCGCAGATATTTAGCGAATAGCAACAAGCTAGTATGTATTATAAAAAAACGTAAACAAAGTAAATCTGAATGCGTACAAGAATTTACTTTTAAATCCGTATTTAATTATCCTACGTGGGTGTTGGTACTTCGAGATCAATATGCAATGCAAATTTCAATGAAACTTGGTAATACTAGTCCCATCTCCGCCCACTAGCTGTTTCGTTAGATTATACTTGAGTTTCCACTTACTATACACTTTAAAGAAACATGTCGTTATCTCCTTTTTATTGGAACAAATAAAAGAGATGGCATGTGTTTTGTACATGGAAACTCGTACTCATCTGGTTTGTTGTAAGCACAAACATGGAAATGCAATCTGAATAATTGAGAGAATGGTAACAATGTTGAGGTCATTGGTCCTGCTTGGGTAAACAGATGTTATCTTAAACAGAACATCGGTTGAATACGTAAAATTTGCAATTCCTAGTGAGCAATTTCAAAACATTATTGCAATATACCAATGTTTAGATGTTCACATTTTGCCACAGAAAACATTATGGTTGTTATATTTAATTATTTACTACATATTTTTAAAAACGGAATAATCATCAGGATAAAGTCGACATTTAGTACTTTATTCGACACAAGCCTTGTCTAAGTATGGCTAAAAATTGTGCTCTTTTCGACTTCTTCTGTGTGTCATGTTTGTTTCCACTTTTATTCCTACCATTATCCTACTTCGTATAAAACATTAGTTTGAAGGTTTTCATATGAAAATAACATTGTAGCAAACATGCGCGAGAATTGAAGCCTGTTCCAAATCCCACAACGACTCGTGACTATGGAATAAACGTGACTTAATACTCATAGTTTTTACTACTTTAAATTAACATTAGAGAATCTTAAATCACGAGAGAGTGTTCAAAATATTATTCAAACAAAAGAGAGTATTAATATCGTGTATACACTTGAATTGTTCCTGCAAAAAAAGACTACTGAATCCAAATTTAGACGGTTTTCCTTTACAATGTTAGTTGCATTAGTTAATTATACTGATCATACTTTTAAATGATGATGAACACGTAGGCAATTGTTAAGTGGCGCAACCAAACGGTATATTTAACATAAATGCTTTTTGTACAGTAGATTAACATTATCTACAAGGACGGGAAGTATTGCAATTGTTCTAAATAACTCACGTGAAGCTATTAGAACTTCTTCTAATTATTTATGTATATCTTACCATCTTCAGGTAATCTACACGGATTTACGTTTTGAATTAAATGGCGAAGCAATTGCATGCATCCTAACTACTTAATACAAATAGAACCTACTTCTGAAATAAGAGTTGAGATAAATAGTTGACAATTTGGCGACTACCAATTATACCAATTTATGTTTGCAGGATGTCTTGGGGCGAGGGAGCGTTCCCGGCAGCGATCGGGGCCGGCTCGCAGCGCTCCCGCCGCAGCCAGCATCAAGCGGGAGGTGGACTTTGACTGTCCCGAGGAGTTCGGCTACTACCCCCACCCTACCGACTGCACCCTCTACTACGTGTGTGTGTTCGGTGGCGCACTGCTGGAGTCGTGTACTGGTGGTCTTATGTACAGGTGAGCTTAGACTTTCAATTTATGTGGCAGGTTTCATCTCTCCTATCTCATCCTACTCCCGGGTTTTCGTCCTCCAAATAACTCTATCATCCGTCATCTCAGTCATTGGGGGGAAGATTCTTGATCATGTTAACTTTCACCCAATCTATCCATAGGTTTCTAAGTTATATGACAGTAAAAATATTTTTTTAAGTTGCTACATTTTCATACTTTTCTATTTTGAAGTACTAATTGATCTTATCAATATTTTTTCAGCCACGAGCTCCAAACATGCGATTGGCCGCGTAACGTTGGCTGTGATGCCACCGGTGCAGTCATCGACAGAGGAGAAGAGCTCGAAAGATTGAGCGAAAGAGAAAGAGATCCACCTCCCCCACCACCACCGCGACGCACCCCTCCCCCGCCGCCGCCGAGAGCCCAACCCAATCCTGTCATTACATCTAGGGGACAGCCTAAATATAACAGACAAGAATATGAAAAGGTAAATTTAAAATAACTGCTTAAATGTATTGAATTCGTAACATTAATTTCACAATATTCATTTTTTCCTTTTCAATCTTTAGCAACAACAGTTGTATGCTGAAGTAGACGATTTACCACCCGTAGAGGAATTGGAAAGCGATAGACAGCAACGGGTTTACCGAGGACAGCCATCCACCATCGGACAAGTTCAAAAGGATAGGGATGGTTATAGAAGTGAATCTATTAGTTCCGGAAGAACACTCAATTCTAACATTATTCCTGCATCGATATCACAAAATAGTGGCAAATTTGGCTCCTTTTCATTCGGGACACAGGTAGATGACAGAAGAACTGCAACAGTTACTCCAGCTCCTCAAACTTATAGGTGATTTAATTATACTTTTTGGTACATACGTATATTTACTTATTGACTACTTAAAATTTATTTACCTAAATATTAACGTATTCAATAAAGTTTATTATTTCAGAGCTGACAGTGACATTTCTGACTCTTCTCAGGACAGAGACAAAGACATCGAGACAAATAAAATAAGTACTGATGACAAAATTCAAAAGACACTTGTAAGAAGAAAAAGGGACTTAGACATGACTGGAACTAATATGACTAAAGGCAAAATGTCTGATAAAAGTGATAATGATGAAGTTATAGAATATGTAGACTATAACATTGAATCAAAACCAATAGAATACGACAGTGGTGATGATCAAATTATGTCTGATAGGGACAAAAGACAAGTTCGTTATATTTTAAAAAATTATAAGCCTGAAAAACAATTTTTAAATTTACAACATTTTAGTCAATATAATCCAAATTTACAAAGACCTCGTTACCAAAATGTACAAAGTGAAAATTTTAACGCAGGAAATCGTAAACCGTATTCCATAGAAAGTAATTACTTTTCAACTGCAAATCCTTTTTTGTCTTACCCAGCAGATGTTTCGCAATCTCAAAGACCATTCAAGCCTAGCCTACCTGATCCATTTAACCAGAAAGTTCGTCATAATCCTGTTAACACTCAAGTTATTACAAAAAGTCCACCTATTTCCTCATTGAATAACAAGGAAAATCCGTTTTCATCTTTGTCTGGTGGTTTTTACAATAACGCCCCTAAAGTCCAATATAACGATCAAAATAATGGCCAACTTGCGCAAACCCGACCGTCGTTTAATCCATCAATGGTCACCGATTCCTTTCAACTACCGAGTATAGCTGTGACAATGAAACCAATTCTGCATTCCACTTTATCTCCCGAATATCGCCGTCCTTTAAATCAAGCGCAAGTCGGACATAATCAACAAATTAACAATGAAAGACTAAAAGGTATAAGAAATAATCAAAATCAGGGTCAAGAAACACCACAAGAAGAAGATTATGATGACAGTTATGAATCAAATGAGAGTGATGAAACGTCTGATGAAGATGAAGACTTTAAGCATGATTTCCCAGATCCACCGTACGATTTCACACACCCCAAAAATAAATATGCTAACATAGAGAATCCTTTCGCTAAGCCAGACTTCGACTTTGATACATATTTAAGTAAATTACAAAATGATCATTATTCAGCTTTAGGAGTGACATCCGCTAAACCTATAAATATTCAACCTAGTAGCTACAAAACCAATAAAATGCCTTTAGAAGTAACGACTCTACCGTATAAAAATTCTATAAGGCATTCAACTACGCTAAACTATAAAGGCGTAAGTACCCCTCGGCCCTTTACTGTTACAAATATCCCCTCTAGTACTAGCAGCTTTATTGGAAATGCTAGAGACGTCGTACAATTTTCACAATTTACAACAAAACCGCTGCTAATAAAGCAAAACGAAAAGCTTACTCTTAATGAAAACTTTTACAATAAGAATATTCAACCAACTCAATCACCCATAGGTAATATTCTTTCTAAACTTAAGCCACCTAATTTTACAGACGAACGTCAATTGCCTATTACATATAGCTTTAGTAGACCAAATGAAAGTACCAAAAGTCCGTATAATGTTTCAACATTACAAAATAATAACTTAGTCTCACGAATTCCACAAATCTTGATAACTAGTACCGGATCGCCTTTAAATTTTGATCAAAATGAACGACCACGAAGACCTGAAAACTTAAACGTACGTCCTATTTCATCTGTTACTCCTTTCACAGTAACTATACAACCCACGAAGTCTTATAGTCCCGGTATAAAGCAATCTACACTTAAAACAGTAACTACCGCCAAAGAACAGCTATATACATTACAACAATTTTGGAATAACCCAGGAAATGAAAAATTCGTTGTTCAATCAACTTATAGACCAAGTTCAGAGTCCTTATTACACGATTTTAGTCCGTCGCAACCTAGTAAAATGTCAACTAAAATGCCATTGAAACCTTACAGTGTATATAGTAGTACACCAAAACCATTCGTAAGTACAATTAAAACTCCCAGTAAACGTAGGCCAATTCCTAAACCCTCTCCCGAAATGAATGATTACTATTATGACGACGAAGATGAGCAATACTATTATGAGCCTATTGTCAAACCTAAATACATGCCAAGCACTGAAGTAAGACCTCAGCGCCCTCCGATGGCCCAAAACTATCATGAATATGAAGACAATTACGACGAACCTTCGTCTCATTTAAAACAAGGAAGACCTATGACAAAAGAACCAATACCAATAAATCAAAATGATATATCGGCGGTAACAAAATTGCCATACAGAGAATCGGATAAACATTCGGTTGGCAAAACGACACCCCTTCCGCCACGAATGCATCATTCTAATGTAGATCGACCAGTTATTTCTACATATGAAATAAATCATCTCGTCCCACGAAACAAAAGTATGTCTTTGAGAAAACCAATACGTAATCAAAATGGACCTTTTACCATGAGTCCTCCGAAGTATTTAAATCAGACTACCTTGAGACCATACACTGTCAGACATAGATTAGCTAAGCCTGTCAATGAATATAATAATTTGGAAAAACAAAAGAATGCTAGGGACAGACATCCAAACATTGTAGCACAGATGCTTACCACTCCTCATGACAGCTATAACCAAGAGACTAGACACACAAAAACTAAGCATGACGACAAATCCAACAGGTAAACGAAAAATTTACGGTAGACTAAATACTATTTAGATTATTTTGTAAATAGCCAAATACAATTACTAACAAGAAGAAAACTTTAACTACTAATATGAGATTCTTGCCGACAAATTATGCACTGACTTTGACTTTTAGACAATATTCTGACTTGACATGATTTTTAACCGTGCATTTAACTCCGATAAAACAAACAATAAAAGATTTTTTTTTAGCTTGGAACCAACCGAGAGTATTACTCCGTCCTCTTATTCACCGAGTCCACGGCCTAAAATGCTCTATAATGGATCTCAAAGCTACAGTCCGGATCAATTTGATCCTTTCTACGCTGTTTACGACGAAGATGGCGAACTTTATAAAGACACAGGTGAGACTTGAGTTTGAATAACAAAGCTTATAGTATGAATAACAATAAAGCTAATAACCTTCAAACATATTTTTTCGACAGACTACGTCCAACAATATAACACAGCATCTCTACGGCCTGCAGTACAGCAAACGTACAGAGGTACTCCTCCGCCGTCACGCAGACCTGTAGAGACATACACGCCCAGACCTGTAACTTCAGATGATTACGACGATGCCCTTATTCAAGGACAGGTATAATGTTAGAACGCCAGAATGAAAAATCTAGTATTACTTTATATTAATTCATTTTAAATTTTCAGATAAATACACAAAATCAATATCAAACACCCGTTCGTCATTCAACAAGGTAAAGATTTTAGATTTTTCTCCTAATGAATAATAACCATAATTTTAATTTGAAAATAACATATTTTAGTCACACTTTATGCTATTTAATTAAAACGATCCAGGGGCGAAGGTAACGATTTGGGCTACGAACATAACCCGAGCAGCGTGCGGACGACTGTTTATGAAGCTACTTCTAAGCGCACTACTCCTACGACTAGCACTACCACTACCACGACCACGACTACCACGACCACCACCACAACCACACAACGCCCTACTACTGCACTCTTCACAGAAGCAATGACTCCGTCTCGATTTACTTCAAGGTACTACAAAAGATACCTAAATTATACAGTTGATGTGCATTCTATGTCATGCTTATCATTGTGGTTAAATTCATTAATATATTCATGTTCACTTTATATTCATCTTTACATTTTATCATTTGTTTCAATAATTTAAAATGCAACCTTTAAACTGTTGACTAATAACTAACCATTCTTTAATTTTCATTTCCTTACATGTTTGTCTTATTTTTCTTCCTCTTTTCTTTCATGTTTCTATGTATGTTTGAAGGTTGTGTAAAGGTAGCATATGGAAAATATAATTTTATACATTGACTATTTATGTATTTATTCCAAATTAGTCGACGTTCCTACAACAAGCTTTTGTGGTATCTTTTAAATTTTGAGTGCAAACACAATGTACACTAGTATGAAGTTTGTTTAACAAGATTAATACTTTCTAAATTGTACTTTAGACGTACAATTTTATAAGGGGATATTAACACATTAATATCGAAGTCTTTTAGATATAAGCTTTTTGTAATTGTACACTTATTAACAATAGTTATTTTGATTGGTTTCCTAGTGAGCTTATTGGCAACTTATGTTGTTAGAGCTTAAATCAGATAGATTTCTTTTGCTTTGTATTCAACAGATTATCTGCAGATGAACGTCCCGTTACTACCTCCTCCCAGAATACCTTAGATACAACCAGTACAACCTATCCTACTCCTTCACAAGTCATCAATATTTCATCCCGTGCTAAACCTTTTCGAAAGACTGATAACTCACGTAGGTTAGAAGACTCTTCAACGACGACTGAGAGACTGCCGACGCGTAGACTTTCTACTCCGAGGACTAATAGCAACAGTAAGGACGATGTCAAGTTAGTAAGGTTAAATGATAATAAAAAATCTTCAACGTTAACAACGGGATTTTCTATCAGAAGAAATACAAATAATAGTAAAAATGCGTACACTCTAACACTTATAACCAGACCTAACGACGATTACCCGACTTCACAAAAGGTAATTGATTACGAAGCTCGCCCAAATGAAAATGATTCAAAAAGATTATACTACAGTACTAACAACGATAACATTGCAGAGCCTGTCAACGCAAAAGAATTAGTTGATAGCTATAACGTTGAAACCACTTCCATTATTCCTCCCAAACCGAGGAAAAGTAGGTTGCCGCCTGTTAAAACTAATTTAAAGGAAACAAATGATGAGGTCAGAGTGGAACACAGAAACGAAAGGCGTAGATTAAGAATAAGTACTACCCCTGAAACCGTTGAGAAAACAAAATATTATCTTAGAAATACTAAACGACCGACACCAGTTTCCATAACCTCAGAAGCGTTTAAAGAATCCACTGAAAATGCAATAAATTACAATGATCATAGTAGTGATGAACCAATTTTAGCCAATGATACCTTATCATTGCTTACAGAAAATGTAGATAGTTTAGTGGTTGAAGATTCTCTTTCAGAAGTTGACGATAATATTGAAGAACCGTTGGTTTCTCCCTATAAAAGTTTAGATAATTTAAGGAACTCGTATGTAGATGATTCGATAAATGATTACACTTCTAGTTCTACGTCAACCACTACGTATACGACTACACTTAGAGCGTTTGATGAAATAAAAGACAGCATAAATAAATATTCCTCTCGGAACCCATCTTACTATAGTTACAATTTAAATGATGAAATTGTCCCAGATCATACAACAGAAGTATTTAGCGGTAAGGTAAGAAATGTGATACAAGCTTTCTTTAATAATTTAGCATCGAATTCAAGAAATACAGAAAAAATCTATACAACAACGCCTAAAGTAACAACTACACCAGAAACTGTAGTCAACATAGGATATCAGAAAAAAGTATCAAAATACATTGAGGATAAACCTTTTCGGAGCAATATTAAATATTTAGAAATTTTAACAGAACCAAGCGTCAGTAGATTCATTCCTCCCAGTGTCGATGCACTTTCTTTTACGGGGTCTTACGACAATGTTCAAAAAAGTTCACCATTAGATGCTATTACTACAGCATCATATGTTACTACTACTCCGACATATCATATTAATCACGAAACAACAATCAAAGAATTAGAACATATAAAATTAAATAAAAAACCTATAGATTCGAAATTTAGAAAAATTGTATCTAGTTCGTATCCCTTTGAAAATTCTCATAAATATAAAGACATTATCAATAGTAACTCGCCCCCTAAGGAAAGCGAACTTGTGACTACTCCTAATATCGATCTGATTATTGAAACTACCAAACCTACACTGATTGACGAAGAACCTTTCTCTACAACTACTGAGACGGAGCAATATCAACTATCACCGGTTCTACCAGATGTTGCTTCAACGACAAGTACTACTAAATCGACTACGACCGCAAAACTCGAAACAAAAACGACTACTAAAAGCTTATCCTTCCCGACACGAGCCTCTCGTGTAAATCCTGCTATAAAGTTAGCCGCGGCAAATCTTGGAGGTGGACGCAGGAGTTACCAATCGTCGACCAATTGCTCAACAGACAACAGTCTGCAAGCCAATCCAAAATGCAACGAAATCAAATACCAGAGGTACATAGCTCGCCGCCCAGTAGTCAATGCAGCCTGATGTTTAAATATTTACCTGAATAATGGACGGTGGAGGCTTCGTTAAAATGTCCCCATTTTCCGCCTCGCGAAGTAACTAGCATGAGATTACAATATCCTATAAAACCGTTTAATGGCACCTACTGCTAAATTCTGTCGCTTGTCATTCTATTCTCATTGGGGGACTTCAAACTGGCTGAATTGTATCATTTGAATTGTTAACTCCTGACGTGGCCATTTCTGTTGTTAGCACTTTTATCAATGTTTTTATACTATGTTATGAATAAGAAATATATTACTTAACTGTAATTGTAAACCAATATGTAAAAGTTCCTCAATGCTTACATTTGCACCTCATTGCATTCCATCCAATAGATGATTTAGTTAGAATATGCACAGTATCACAATAAATAGTAATAATCTTATATTGCTGAAATTTTTATCTTTTCATTGCATGAATATGGAATGATTAATACTATAAATGATTACTCGATCCAATCACATTTGTGTTTGATCAGCAGTAAGTAAAGCTTAGATTAACTAAAATTTAAAAATGGACTATTAAGGATACGAATGAAGAACTAAATGCATCAAATAATGATTCCGATTGCTTCTCTTTAAATCCACGCGTACTAATATCGATGTATTAACCGAACAACTGATTGGATAATTTTAAATTTATCAGGCCAAGCAGCACTCGAGGTCGAGGGTCCGCACACTACTCCACACTGAGCGGCTCTGAGGCGCCGCAGCAACAAACCAACAGAGGAACACCACCAACGTTAGAATGAATTCATTTTCTATATAATACTCTTCTACTACAGCATTTGTAGTCGAAACTCGACATAGGGCGATAATCTCTACATTTTTTTCATTTATACTTTCGGCAACGGTTTAAGTTAAAAAAAAAATTAATTATGTAAATATTTAGAGTACGATAGAAACCTTAAGTGGTAAGTATTTTGGATGAGTATTTTCGAAACAATAATACCAGCTAGGAAAACCACCATCTTAACGCCTAAAAAAAATTAAATTAGTAAATATAAATTGAAAAAGTTTTAACCTTAATTTTAGATCGTTTAAGCTGTTTTTATACCTACCTAAAATTCTAATCTGTATTATTATTTCTGAGCAGCCGCAGTCGCCCAACCCTCAAACCCTCGACAGCTATCGTCTCCGAAACAAAGTTCGTTGATATCTACGCTTACCCCGCTCGTCGGCCCGCTCCGGTGTATCCCCAGCCCACGCCGGACAAGACCGCCGCTAAGTGCCGGAAAGACGTCTGCCTCTTACCAGACTGTTATTGTGGTGGCAAGGATGTTCCTGGTACGCATTATTCGTTAATTAGTTTAAATCTAACACCTTTATATTAGATGACTTACTAAGTGCAAATTATAATTCATCACTAATTTAACGTTCTCCACTGCTGGACTCATGTGCTGATTCAAATGTCACAATTACTTGTATTCTACGACAAGCTAGAGGATTAGTGGACGAGGATTGACTAAGAAAACTTTTCCCTTTATTCTATTACATTGACAACTGTGAATACCACGCCTCTGGAATTAACAATGCACTTGTATTAAAATTGCTGGCTACTTTAGGAAATTTACCTGTCGAGGAAGTCCCACAAATGGTTCTTATCACATTCGACGACGCTGTGAATGATTTGAATAAGATGTACTACGAGGAGCTTTTTGAACACGGACGCGTCAATCCTAACGGATGTCCGATATCCTCCACTTTCTATGTATCTCACGAGTGGACCGACTATAGCCAAGTACAAAACCTGTATGCTGATGGTCACGAATTTGCGTCACACACGATATCGTAAGTCTACGGAGTCTACAGCTTCCATCTACTGGGTCTTCTATATCTTGGTATCTTGAGAAATAATCTAAAAGTCGAACATTACTTGAATGACAATCGGTACAGAGAATGTTCGGTTTTTGGAACTACACTAACGATTTATTCTTGGCCATCTGTACTGGTACTTATATCTACATAGTTATATTATCAATTACGTTTTGTTTTATTTTCATTAATATTTTTCTTTTGTTTTTCTTTTCCTTCCACTATACCTATCGTATAACCTCTTCCTGGCACTATCGGTACCAATAACCACATGCACAATCATTACCCACACCCCGCGGCGACACAGGTGACTTACCGGTGGAGAGTGTGCCACAGATTGTCCTGCTGACGTTTGACGATTCCGTTAACGACCTGAACAAAGTTCTGTACTCGGATCTATTCGAGAAAGGTCGCGTAAACCCTAACGGTTGCCCGATTAGTGCCACCTTTTACGTGTCTCACGAATGGACCGATTACAGTCAAGTACAGAACCTTTACGCTTCGGGACACGAGATGGCATCGCATACAGTCTCGTAAGTTTTAAAATATAATAAACGCACCAACCCATAGTAGTTGCACATATTTTATAATATCAATATTAAGTATTTATTTACTAAAGTCTTCATTATAATACTCATCTATTTCTTTATAATATTAAATTTCACTTATTTCCATTTTAACCACACTAACCTATGTCATATTTTACTATCGGAAAATTAATAAACTATGCCTAAATTTCAGTCACAGTTTTGGAGAACAATTTTCTCAAAAGAAATGGAACAGAGAAGTGGGTGGACAAAGAGAAATTCTGGCAGCTTACGGTGGAGTAAAATTGGAAGATATTCGTGGCATGCGAGCGCCTTTCCTTTCTGTTGGCGGCAACAAGATGTTCAAAATGTTATATGATTCAAACTTCACTTACGACTCGTCGCTGCCAGTGTATGAGAACAGGCCGCCAAGCTGGCCGTACACCCTTGACTACAAATTGTTCCATGACTGCATGATTCCGCCTTGCCCTACTAAATCCTACCCTGGTAAGTTTAACTTCTGCGTTTATTGTGAAATTCTACCATGTTTCACATCGTAGGAAACTTGGTCTTCATTTTGAAAACCATCGACATGCATGTTTAGAGTAATTGTCGCAAAAAATCACCTTTTGAAGATAAAATTTGATAACATAGTGTCGTTTGCGCGGGTTAGAAAGAATTATTAATTCCAGAAACACAATACATATAAGTATTGTATTAATTTTCAGGTGTTTGGGAAGTGCCAATGGTAATGTGGCAGGACTTGAACGGCGGCCGCTGCTCCATGGGCGACGCGTGCGCAAACCCGCCCGAAGCCGAGGGCGTCTACAAAATGCTGCTCAAAAACTTTGATAGACATTATACTACTAACAGGTAATGTCAATGTGTATCTTGATGGATTACATTTTAAAGAGGATTAAAAAATAATAAATCATACAAAGCAAAACTTGAATCCTAAATGCGTAGTTATTACATTTTGTTAAACTATCCAATAACTATCGTATTGCAGAGCTCCATTCGGACTGTTCTACCACGCGGCGTGGTTCACGCAGCCGCATCATAAGGAGGGCTTCATAATGTTCCTCGACTACATCAACAAGATGAAGGACGTGTGGATCGTGACCAACTGGCAGGCGCTGCAGTGGGTGCGCGACCCCACGCCCATCTCCAGGCTCAACAACTTCCAGCCCTTCCAGTGCAACTACCCTGTAAGTAATACCAACGAGTCACAAACTCATTGAAACATATATCAGTCTATATAAAGTAACAGCCGTAAGAGAGTGCAGATCGGGTGCAAATACATTAAATTTAAGACAACCAGAAGATTCATCAAATTACGTTTATATTTACGATTCTTTATTCTTTTCAGGATCGTCCGAAGAAGTGCAACAACCCGAAAGTTTGCAACCTCTGGCATAAATCAGGGGTGAGATACATGAGAACGTGTCAACCATGTCCGGAGATCTACCCCTGGACAGGAAAGACCGGCATCAGATCATCACGCATCGACAACGAAATCGATGAATAATTCATACGTAGCTTAATAGTAAAGTGTCCGTCCTTGAAAAGTGATATAAGTATATAAGCCAACGAGGCAAGGACTACCAGCTTGTAAATTATTTGATTGTAGAAATTGTTCACCAGCTACAGAGTGCCATTTAGATTTCGGTGGTCACAAAATTTATATCGAAAACAATTTTATTTGTGTTATTCGAAATAATGGTTTAAACTCTCTTTAAGCTACCCGTTGTGTATTGGAAACTGTGATATTGTGTGTTTTCAATCATTCTGTAAACTCATGTAACTTTCATTCTCATTAACTATGAAGTTTGTGAAACTATTCATGTTTTATTTGTCGTTTAATAATTTGTAATTATTTGTCGAATGTTAATTGGTATGAAATTTTTCAATAGATTATTTGTATCAGTTTTACGAAGATCTGACTGTCCGTATGGAAGCCATATTAAAATTTAGAAAATAACTTTCTAATCTTGCCAGCTTTGTAGTTGACACTGCCTTTTTTGAATAAAATGTAAATATAGTATTAGTTTATACTTAGATATAGAATAAGTATATCTAGACAACGGCGTATTAAAAACATGATAAATATAAGTTTACGCTGTTTTGAAACAAGACATTTGTAAATAAAGACCTTCACTTTTAACGCTACAATTAGTTCATACTAAATAACTTGCAAAACCAACCTTTCATCATATCAGATGTGTACATTTAAATAATTTTCATAATTTATTCAAAGTTATTTTTCAATAAAAAATAAAACGCAATAACCACTTTATATACTAAGTGAAGTTTGTTTACAATGTGTAGTCTTTATTTGGAACAGCGTATAAATCAAATAAATCAGTTTTTTTGCAAATATTAGCATTGCGTAGACGTCTGCCTACACCGCAATGTAGCACATGTCTACGCGACAACTAAAATTAAATATTTATTAATGACTATATAAAAAAAGCGTTAAAATATTATTCAAAAATATTAATCACATTTCTAAAATTTGAACCACAAGCATACGCGCTATAAATTCCTAATTTTAGTTTTAATTTTAGCTTTGGTATGCTAAAGCAACTAAAGTGGTCAAAAGCGCTTGCTACGATTCTATTTAAAATTAGAATTATATTTTGTATTAAGTACTATTATTGTAAATATAGGTTTAGTATTTAAAATTGGATATACCTTTTTCACTCGATACTATAAGAATTATTTTTCGATATGAACCCGGCTATTACGATTTATCTTTGACATGACAATTATTGAGCCTAGTGTCGTTTAGAGCAAGGGAGTAATGTAATTTGCTATCGATATATTCTTATGTTTTTGTATAAACATTGTGTGATCGATAATAAACAATAAATGCTACAAATTATCTACTATTTCATTTTTAACCTACCTACCTTTCAAAGAAACAAACGCTACCTCATACTTCCACTACTTAGGTACCGTAGTATGTACACTCTAGTACAGAGATTAAAATGAATCATTTATAGACAGGCCATTCGAAATTCCCTACAACCATCAGTTAGTCAACGTGACGCCAACAAGGTAAAGATTACAGTTTGGTTCGTTATATTGAATGTCTGGTTGTTACATATTTCATACTTCGTACAGTCGAAAGAATTGCTTTTTGTTTTTAGTGTTCATGACCGAAGCGACGGCGATAGTCATAAAAAATTAAAACTCAATCATATCACCTGGTTGATATTTCATGTATCAAGGTCTTCTAACACTACATAAAGGTAGAACGGGAATTGGTTTCATACATTTCGATTTTCGTCACAGATTCAGAATGAAATTTGTCGAACTAACATTTTTTATTACGTTTTATAGTGAAGTTATCAGTCAACAAATAGAATTCTATCCATCTCAGTCACTAACATACAACAAGGTGAAAAATGTACGAGTTCAAAAGTCTACAAGGAAAGTTAATTTCAAAGAAACGGGTGGAGAATATCATATTTTTTCGGATTGGAAACCTTACAAAAGTGATAATAAAACTAATAAAGATCCAGTTAAAAGGGCAGTAGATCCAGTGTTCTACGGCAATCCGAAAACAAAAGAAGAGTTATGGCATGAACATTTTTTACAAGAATTAAATTCCGATGAAAGACCGTCGCTCATTTCCTTACTTCATAACATAACACTAACGTATTTAAACGATTGTACTCCCGTTATACTATATGATAGAAAAGTTAAAACAGAAGAAACCCACATATTCCAAAATTTCTTGAAGAATTTTCCTATCTCCTTTACACATGGCTATATTGAAGATAATGATAAATTAAGGGAACCAAATCTATTGAAAATTCGTAAAGATTGTTTGCATTATGTAGTATTTTTATCAGATGTGAAAAGAATAGCGAAAGTATTAGGCAAGCAATCTCAAAGTAAGGTTATAGTAGTAGCTAGGTCATCACAATGGACAGTACATGAATTTCTCGCCAGTTCTCTTTCAAGAATGATTATTAATTTACTCGTAATTGGACAAAGTTTTAGAGGAGACAGTAAAACGGTAATTTGGTCATTACTACTACGTCTTTCTATACACATAAATTTTGTTGGAACTAAACTTTTGAATTCTATATAGTTGTGTTACTTTTGCTTAAAATGACGTAATAATTAATTCTTTTTTTTCTTGGTTGTGTACACTACGTGTTTTTGCTTCATCAGTTCCAGGAATCGCCATACATTTTGTATACGCATGAATTGTATACAGATGGCTTAGGCGCCAGCAAGCCAGTTGTGTTAAACTCTTGGTCTAACAATAAATTTTCTAGACAAGTAAATTTATTTCCTTCTAAAGTAACTGAAGGGTACGCCGGTCACCGGTTCACTGTAGCCGCTTCGGACAAACCACCCTTCATATTCAAGAGGTAAATATAGATTTATGGAATGGGTTATTTCATTACAATATTTTATATGAATTATTAAACATTTAGGATCATAATGGACCCAAAGGATGGTAATATTAAAGTAACTTGGGACGGAATTGAGATGAGACTTTTGAATTTGTTAGCGAAACGAAATAACTTTTCCATTGAGATTGTTGAACCTCGTGATTTAAGCTTAGGGTAAGAACATTTATTATCATAAATTCTATACCTCAATCTCAAATGGTTCAATTAAAATTGTTAATTTAGACCAGAGACCGCTGTTTTAAAAGAAGTTATGATGGATAAAGCGGACATAGCGACTGCCGGTTTGTATGTAACGAGCGAAAGGTTGTTGAATTTGGATTTAAGTTTTCCACATTCGCAAGATTGTGCCGTTTTCATAACATTGATGTCAACTGCTTTACCAAGGTACGAACGCTATGATGTTTAAATTATACTTTAACAGTATTTTTTTTAATTTTTCGTTTTTTAATTGCCAGTTTGTTTACTCCTATATTGTCGTTAAACAAATATATTTAAACCAGAAATCTGTTTTATTCCAGATATCGAGCAATTCTAGGACCATTTCATTGGCACGTTTGGTTAGCTCTGACGTTTACCTACTTGATCGCCATTTTCCCTCTTGCTTTTTCTGATAAACATACTCTACGACATTTAATTAACAATTCAGGTGAAGTAGAGAATATGTTTTGGTATGTTTTTGGAACTTTTACGAATTGTTTCACTTTTGTGGGTAAAAACTCATGGAGTAAGACGACGAAGATTACTACAAGACTACTCATCGGTATGCTTTACAAAATTCATCTCTGTTTTTATTTTTTTATAGCGGCTTTACGCCGCTGTGTCGACATGTTCTTCACCAAACTCATGTTTTTAGTCAAGGACCTTGGTAGCGGGTGTTTCTTAATTTCTTGTTATTGTTTTTAAATTTGTTTTTTTAAACTGCAATTTATTTTCAAGGTTGGTACTGGCTGTTTACAATAATAATTACCAGTTGTTACACGGGCTGCATCATAGCATTTGTCACTTTGCCAATATTTCCAGACACTATAGATACCATTAAGCAACTGCTTGCAGGGTTTTATAGAGTCGGTACTTTAGGTAAGTATTTAATTCAATCAAGACTTTAAGCGATTTCTGATTCACGGATAAACACCTGCATAATAATTTTATGTAACTTAGACGGTCTTCCAAACCCCTGATTACATTTAATGTTCAATAGAATAATTTAATAGATACATATTTTTGTCTTTACGTTTTTCAGATCGAGGAGGATGGGAAAAATGGTTCCTAAATTCCTCTGACCCAGACACTAACAGACTTTTTAAGAAAATTGAATATGTACCTGACGTGCGTACTGGCATCAGAAATGTTACAAGAGCCTTCTTCTGGCCGTACGCATTTCTAGGATCTCAAGCTGAGCTTGAACATATTGTTCTGGCAAATTTTACTAATATGAGGTATGAGACTTGTACTAGGAAAAAAAATACAAGTTGACAGTTTCCAATTGAATCAATAAGAGAACGGAAAAATAGTTTCCGTCTCACACGCGCCACCATAGCAATTTGTAATCCGTTTCTTCTAGTTAAATTTTGTCGTAATATTTATACTAAATTCCTAGTGACATTGTTTCAGAAACCATTTCAGTTATCTTTATTTCGACAAATCTTATTCTTCTAATTGACAGTTCTAATTTTCAGTTCAAAACGTGCCAAGCTACATATATCGAACGAATGCTTCGCGCCGTTTGGAGTGGCTTTAGGCTTCCCCAGAAACTCCGTTTACAACGACAAGTTTAGTGGCGACGTTCGTAGATTATTGCAGAGCGGAATCATAAACAAAATCGTAGACGAAGTTCGTTGGGAAATACAGCGGAGTTCTTCTGACAGACTATGGGTATATTCTGAACAGATTGATTGGTAGGACTAATTATCATGATAGACGGTTCAAGTAAAGGTACACTGTACTTGTCCAAAAAAAAAGGAACTTCTTAAAATACGTACAAGCTTGCAATAGCCAATCAAATTATTCTACTCGTAAAAAATATTTTAAAAGCGAAAGTTTAGATGGATAGTTGATTGTTAGAGTTTAGAGCCTAAACTGTTTAACGGATCTCGATGAAATTCGGCATAGATTTATTTTAATTTTTAACTCCACGCAGACGGAGTCGCAGGCGAAAGCTAGTTTATTAATGTTTTATTTATGTATCAAATCAACAAGACATACACGTAGGTAGATTATGAAATTACTTATCTAATTTCAGGTCGGTAAAGTGTCACAGAAGGTAAATTCAGTTCAAGAGAAAGGTTTGACTCTAGAAGATACACAAGGAATGTTCCTTCTTCTTGGTGCTGGCTTCTTGATAGCTGGCGGAGCTCTTTTGAGCGAATGGATGGGAGGTTGTTCAAGAAAATGTACCGTAAAAAGAGCTAAGGCGTCTTCTGTTAGTTCAGAAAATTTAGTACCCAATAACGTGTATGCAATTCGAGAAAAAGGTTTCAATATCAGCGATTCTACGGATTCATTGGATGGTCAAGTTATAAATGTATCAGAAGAAAGTATTACTATTCATAATGAGTTTAATGTATTCGAATTTAGTTCGAAATCAAGTTCTACAGATATAGATAATGAAGTACACGAGATATTTGAAATCGATGAACAGAGAAAACATGTTTTAGATAAAGAAGAATCGTTTGAGATTAAAACAGCAAATACAAAGAGTCCATTAGGAGAACATATAAACAATTAGTAGTAGTCAACAGTTAGTATTAAGACGTGTGTATTTTTCAGAACTTAGAATTATTTAGAAAAAAAAGACCAAAAACACATATTTGACGTGAAATTGTAGTCTTTTTATATGATAAACCATAAAATCAGACTTCTAGAAGTAAAATCATGTTTTACTTGAATTATTTAAAACTTTGCATAAATGGAATTAGGAATAAACGGGAGTAAATTGATATAATTAAATGACATACAATTTTGACATCCAACTCTTTATTATCGTTCGAACAGTCATCAAAATAATTTATAACAATTTTCTAACACTGTCCATTAACATTAAAATATCAATCAACCACTGAGATGTTGCCGATGTTCACAATTCATACTTTATACAGGGCAGAGCCGACCGGCTGGCTGTCTAACTGGCAAGCTGCTGGCCGGCTGCCGCAGACAGTCGCCGTTCGACCTCACGTAATGCAATATATGGCCCGGCCTCACACTTACAAAATAATTATACATTATGACTTAAATTCCCAAGAGACGGCTCCGAAAAGTCGCAGCCGCCTCGACACTAACAGTAAAAATATCGATAAAATACAACAAGATTTCGATTTGTTGTAAATCCAAACGAAAATATACCTAATACCTACCTAAGCATTTGTTACATTACGTATTGCACGACTGATGTTACAAAACAACTGTGAAATCGACTTGAGTATTCAATAAGGATATGTATTTATAGATATATCTAGAATCTATTCCGTTCATGAGGGCTGTGGAGCAATAGCAAGAGACGGGCGGACTGGCTACAGGCTACCGCGAAATCTGAAGCGATCTCCGACATTACACTTATGACTATAACTTTTATTAAATGCAACAAATTTATCATTCTATAAGGTGAACGGAAGGTGAATACCCCATTGCTATTGGTACACAGCGGGACAAACATAGGTAATCATGCAAAAATGTAGGTACATCTAAAAAACAAAACGAGCAAACCCTTTTTACAATAACACACAACACGGTTGTGCGTCCAAATGAATATTTAAATATTAATAATTAAATGTGAAATCATTCCCGATAGAAGCTCACAACCTCGGAAATTATGCTCCCAATACCAGCTTACTGATCAAATATTTTATACAAGAAGTAAATATATTATGTGCAGTCGACAAACTAGCTACGCCATCGACGCTCCACTGACGATATTCTATACAAAGGTATTGTTATCTCTTTTCAATCAAGGACAAAGATAGAGACAGGATTACTTCGGCAGTGGTCGATGACGTTTCATATCTCATGTGAATTCATATACTTCGACTAAGATGAGCCACATTTCATTGTAAATAACCTCATCTCTTAGATACTATTTCTAAGTTAATGTAAATCTGTTTAATAACAATTTGATCAGTGCATCAGAATCTTTGATAGGTAGGTAACTATGTTTTAAAACAAGCTACTAAGGAAATTCAAACCAAACTTCATACGATCAAAATCATTTGAGCAATTTTCTACAATGCACAATCAAATATTGTAAAGTACTAGGAACGGATAACCAAAACGGTGTTAACAGAACTTTAGAATTTCTTTACAAGTATCGTAACAGTGTAGTGTATCACTTTAACAATATTATTCTAACATTAAAAGTGTACATATAGCTCCCGCAAGTAGGGAAAAACATCGATTATGTTCAGATATTAAAATATTTTTAATTTCAATTTTATACTATTCGTGTATATTATTTTACAATGCGAAAAATACATTTATACTCGTTCAGACTTTTGAACATCAAAACTGGTTACATCCCTGTACATTTTACAAATACACATTCTAATTTTGTTATTGTGATGTGAAGACGTCTAATTCATGTAAATTTAAGCTTAATATTTTAATTTTTAATATTTACAATCACAAATTTAATTACGTCCGAACTAACAACAATTTTTGTATAATAACCACGAAAAAATGAAGACAATGGTACACTTCATTTAATTTATAATAACACCAATTTGCGGTGATAACAATTATATTGTACATTTAAAAATTATCTGGTTTTTCGAACAGATTCAAGCAGTATATATAAGTACAAACATCGTATAAAATGGTTACATTAGGCACCGTGAGTAAGGCATCTACAGTGAGATACGAGGGAACAACGATAACAAAACTTCATCACGGGATATTAAAAATGACAGCCTAACCAAGAATATAAAAATTATAAATATCCTTCAATCAACAATTGTTACATAACTTTCTAATGTTTACACATTAATAAATTGTCATATTATCTCCACAATATCGTGAAGATTTTATATTTCTAGTCAGGTTATAATTTCATTATAAACTCCGAGATGAAGTTTTGTAGGAAAAAGGGGAACAAGAGGTCCAAGCGACATCAATAATGATGCAAACAATGATAAAAAAAACAACGAATGATACATTTAATTATATACATAAGCTGTTTAACATATCGATAAATTTTATAACTACATTTATTGTATTACAATGATTACATAATAACTTCTAAAAATAGGGCGGACGTGATTTTATAGTGCTGTACCAAAATAGGTTATTTTTCGTGTGATAAATATATTCTTTTGTGTATTCTGTGTAAAGCTATTATATTTGACATTGTATATCGTTCGCTGGATATATTTATATATCTTACGAGTTAAATAAAATCGTTACAGCTTCAGATCACATTAACAAAACATTATGTCCTAACAAGCTTTAACTTTCCACCTAGTAACCGATTACAGCCACTAAATACATAAATACTTACATATGTACTTTACAAGTACGGTACAATTTATGATATTCAAAATTGACTTTGATTTTTGGTCTGAAAATGAGTAACGCCCGCACCTTTGTTATGTTGAATTTCTGTGTATTCCATTTTAGTGGGAAGTGTTAGTTGTGTTTGAGCGAGAGGCAGGTCAGTTGCGGGGCATGTTGCGATACAGTGTAAACGGCGTCTGTTCAGAGACTGCTGAGTGCGAGTGTAATCATAAGAATTTTAAAGCTTCGTGTGGTACCTCCATATCGAGTCTAGCTAACATTACCTACTTAACATAACATTCGTTCCTAACGGGACGTGTATACATATTATGTAAATATTATTGTGTTCTCATGTATAAATATGTCAATACATACAATTTCCAATACATATAACTTATTATCTTCAGTGATGACTACACTTAATTTACAAAGATTCAAAGTTCGGATGTCACACTATAATTATATTTTTAAAATGGCACAAAAAAACTTTTAAAACACTAACACAAATGTCAACATTCGTTTTGTGGTCTGTCACGCACTTGCACACTGTTGTCTTTGCTACGCACTACGTCGCCACGTAGCACTACGTCGCCATGTCGCCATGTCGCCATGTCGCGCTACGTCGCCAGATGCACTACCTCGCACTACGTCGCCACGTCGCACTACTTCACTCCGCTGCTCACAGACAGTTCCCTCACTTGAACCTCAGCGTTTGTTTTCACTTACTATTACTAATTTTAAATTGACTAAATTTTAAGCTAAACAGACAATGGCACGGATTGTACAAATAATGTTTTCTATTTACATGGGATACAGCGATCTAACTATACGTTACGTTCTTTTAAAGTATTACAAAAAGTTGTTCAAGAAGGTTGCATTTATCTGTAACATTGTACTTAAATTTAACATTAAATCTTACTCTTTAGTGTACTTGCACGTGCAGTAATTAATTACGTATTAAGAAGGAGGTAAGCATTTATTATGCTTCAACATCGACTCGTTATATGAAAGGAAATATTTAACATCGGCTCCTTTCCGACGGAGCTTGAAATTTAACTAGACAATGTCCAATGCGCGTACCGTGCCATCAATTTTGAGCACCTTTAATTTAGATGCACCTTGCAATGTCAGACTTTTGATAGTTCAGCGCTGATGTACTTCTGATTCAGCACCGAGGGAAAGAGCGGGTGAGGGTTGCGATATCGAACGTGGGACGGCAGGACGGTACCGAAGCTCGAGGGGCCGGGGCCTGTGGGGCCGAGGGGCCGGAGGGGCCGGGGGCTTAGCAGTGCGGGTGCAGGGGCCTCAGGCAGGGGCCGAAGGCCTCGCAGTCTAGCTATGTGGCCCAGCTCTCGATCCGCTGCCGCTTCGTGTGCGGCTGCTCGTAGTCGAGCGGCACGGTGTTGGCGTGCCGCATGTCCTGGCCGGCCGGCGAGCCCATGTTGCTTGACGTTACTGAACCTGAAACAAATATGTCTAACTCTAAAAGTAATTCATTGCTTCAAACAGAACATACAATGCTATTATACCATTGGTGAGAACATAACATACTACTTTCAATCTTTCTTAATTCTTCGTAATTTAAAAAATATAAAAGGCACAAAGATTTTAGACTGTCCAACTTCTAGTTTGTGGATTATTTATTTAACACTTGTTTTCGCCGGGACTCCGTCCGCGTGGAATTAAAAAAAAAAGTAAGTAGCCTAAGTGTTCTTCCAAACTATGCTCTACATCGATGACAAATTTCATTGAGATCCGTTCAGCAGATTAGGCTACAAACTTTAATAAACATCCAACTAAACTCTTGAATTATTAATATTAGTAAGAAGTACGAATACATAAGCCGGTTGTTAGAGAGGAGTATTGTGATGTCTCACCATCGATGACTCCAGAGAGGTGTGCGGGCTGCGGCGCGGGCGCGAGCGGCGCGCGGTGCAGGTGGTCGGGCGCGCGCGGCGGCGACACCGGCTCAGCTTTGATCTTCACGTTGCTAGGCGACTGCGCCGGCGGCGGCGTGCCCCCGCCCCCCAGCGCCGGCAAACTGTGGGTATACAATAATCTTAATCTTCTTTATTGTATGGCTTTAAAAATAACATTAAATTAAAGTTTATCATTCTTAAAAAGATATCAAATCAAACACTATTGTAATTAGATACTAAAGAAATGTTTATATAACGTAGCATTGAAACTTTAGTTTAAATAAGTTAAAGTAACGTTTAATCTATGTTGTTGTTTAATAATAAGTTTTTGTCTGCTTTCATAACAAAAAATAAAGCAAGCAAGTTTGTACGCAGGGTAATCGTGCGGAACGCGTTTAACCTCAATAACGCTATAAGGCTGGTTATTTAGTTTAACAGTCACTAGCTCCGATAGCCGTGATCGTCTAGTGGTTAGGACCCTACGTTGTGGCCGTAGTAACCCAGGTTCGAATCCTGGTCACGGCAGCGAAAAGCTGTTACGGCGGAGTTTACTTTTTGTTACTTTTTTTCATTTTCAAGAACAGAGTAAATCTTTGCATTTAACTTTAGATTTCATTGTCATCCTATATTTTGCCACTTGATTTAAGGTTGGTTAATTTTTGTTTACAAAAATATTTTAGATTACATAATTTACATAATTTATAGTAAATTTAGCATGCAATATTAAATGTTTTGATGAAAAGCAATAAAATGAGATAGTTTATTAATTCACTGGTTAATAAACAAAGTTAGCATTATAAATTGTAATTCAAAATTAGGATATTAATAAAAAAATCTTTATTATTACTAAAAAAGCATTTATTACTGATCCCAATTTCGAAGAAAATATGTGTTTGAATAAATAATCCCTGATTAGAGTAATGGATTATAACTCATATAAAAACTGTTAATTGAGATATATGCTGTTTAAATTACAAGTTACGAAAAAGTTAGAAACTAAAAGGTGCATATATATCATTTGATGCTGGAAAAACAGCTGTGTGAAATTACAAGGCCCATGTTATTTTGCACGCGTTGTAACTCCGTAGTAATAAAGCGCATGACTCACCCATTTTAATGAAGATTATAAGCGTGATTAATGGACTGATAATAGTGATTTTGGATATAAAAAGTTTGGGCACAGACATGTACCTGTTGTGCTGTAACGTCTGCAGTTGGTGCGCGCCCCATGATAGTCCGATCCCCATGTCCGATGTCATGCTGAAGTCCTGTGGTCCGAAATTGCCGAGTCCTGAGTAGCTAAGTGGTGTCTGGAAAGGATAAAAAAAAACATTAAAAAACTCAGTTTCCAAACCTATGTAGAGTAAATGTAATATTTTACGGTATATTATACGGTACTCTACACTACACAATAAGAAATTTAGTTGAGAGCAAGTATGAATTTTATGGCTATTCCAGTCGTCTTCGCAAATTTTGTTTTCGTTTCCCATTTCTTGGTATTGTACTCACCTCTCCGGTATAAGATAGGTCGTCCTGCGGCGGTGGCATGGCGCCGGGTATGACGACGCGCAGATTGTTGTGCCGCGGCGAGTGGTGCGGTGCGTGATGCGACTTGTGAGCGTGCCGGTGGGGCGAAGGCGCCGGCCCAGGGGAGGGCGAGGGTGTGCACGCCGCGCCCAACGGCGACGCAGACCCTGGGTATCCATTCGACATCTCCAACATTCCTCCGCTAGGGTATACTGGAAATTTAGTTTTAATAACATGAGTTTCTTAATCGCAACTAAGAGCGTGCGCACACCTGAAACTAAACTATCGCACAACTGTTCAGTCTCACTTTGATTCTTAGGAGCTTATATAGAGGCAGACTACTCGATTTCTATTTGTGCAAATAAACAGTTAAATTGGCTGCGAAACAATAGACAATCGCACTACACCTTTGCGATAGTAATTCTGTTTCAATCAATTCAATCCAACACTAAGGTAACCTAATTAAGGAATATTTACCAGAATCGGTTTCCGAAGACGATGGCCGTGGACTGATAGAGGTGTGCATCTGAGGGCTGGCCTGCAGCATAGACTGGTCGTAACTGCCCACGGGCACGCTCACGGGCAGATTGTAGTTAGCGCCCGTCACTCCCACGCCCACTCGGCTGCCGTTCAGCTGATTCCTCTGCATCATAATCTGGAACTCTTCATCGATCTTCGTGTATTTGGCTTCGGTGCGCGGCGTCAGGTTGTATTCAGGCTCGGCCTCGGGGCTGTCCGGCGACATCACTCCGTTCTTATGCTCTTTCTTCGTGAGTGCCTGTAAGTGTCAGCGAAACCAGCTCAGGTGGCTTGACGAGCCAAAATCGTATATACTATATGGGCGGGTTCACGCATGCGTAAATTAGAAACACCCTCTATACAAACCATATTAGTATTTTAATTTCTACAACAATCGTTCAACAATCGATATAAGCTTTGCTTATTGCTCAATGGATGTAGTGAGGGTTCAAGAGTGCTTTAAATAAAATTAGAAAGAAAATTAAGAAAAAAATAAAATTAAACTAAGCTCTAATTTAATTGTACGTGAAAATTTTTTAGCGTACATATGTGTGTAGTGTCGAATGCAATGATACAACACTGACTTTACCCTTGTATCACATCACGGACTCGTGGTAGGTAGGTAGGTACGGTTAATTCAAATAAACACAAAAATATTTACAAAACCCATGCTGTACAACGAAAAAAAAAACAACATAAACATTTGGGGTGTCTAGTCGTAAACTGTTAGTACGAAACACGAGGGTCTGGTGTTTTGGTTTGGCTTTTTCTTCATTTTTATTATTTCTAACAGGAAATATACTGGCATGCTGGTCGGTACACTAATGTACGTGATTAACTCAATTACTTCATTGGATAATTCGGTTATATAGACTACAGAGTGTTTTTTTCCAAATATTTCTTGTTTTTTTTTTTTAGTAACAAATGTTGAATATGCATTAGGTTTGTGTAAGTAAAAGCGCGCGGTTAATGGGATAAGTCAATATTGCATGGACATTGCATTGCGATCACGGGCACACAGATGACGCCGTACTTAATGTACCTCGATGATGTTGCGGTTGGTGAGGGACTCGTGCGGCTCGTTGTATTCCGTGTACTTGAGGAGAACCTGCAACCATACAACAGTTCCCATCATTACGCGTCATTCGTACTTTCAGAGCCCTAATTTAGGGTAGCAATCATGATCCAACAAAAGACGATCGTCAAAAAAGATGCCCCAAAGAATCTCCAATGGAATGTTTTTTAATGTCCTATTAAAATGTATTTACATTTGTAGTTAACTCTTCAAACAAACAAATCTACATATCTTTTGTATGTACGTATGAAATAAACAGAAGGAACACGGTGTATCTTCATACATTTATTCGTACGAAATTTGATTTACTACTATAAAGTTACCTGTTGATTTTATTTTGTATATCAATATTTGTTCGTTGAAATCCCTCATTAGGGGAATTGTCTCATTAATTAACAATTTACTTGGTAAATTTCAAATAAGGAGATAAACAAAATTATGCAAATGCGCCGTCGGATCTGGCCGAATGTGTACAAGTTCGGAGAATTTAGAACGACCTAAAAACTACTATTCCAGCAATATTTTATTCATAATTGTACTACAATATAAATAAATAAATTTATTGATAACACTTTTAAGTGATAAGTTTAAATGCGAATTTCATGTAAACCCAAACACGGCTAAATTACTATAATTATTTATGATTTTTAGTATCTGTAACATTTCTTATACATTGCGATTTCCTTAGATGGTTTAACTTGACTTGAAAACCGATACCTTGTAATTTCAACCAGTTATTTATCGCAACATTTACTTAACAATATCAAATATAATTGTTGATTTATTTATTTTTTAACCCATGGTGATGTGTTGAATGGTTTTAATCAAAGTGCTAAAAGCTTTTAGTTTAATTTTTGTTCTCATTTCAATTATTCTCAGTATTTTTGTTACACAAACCTAAACTATAGAGAATTGACTTGATCGATTTTAAAGGATTTATATTCTATCCTGAAGTGTTCTTTCCCGAATTTTCTCTTTTAGTACTGATGTTTTGATAGTAAATTGTAATAATCAATACATATTGCCTTACTGTTTCAAAATCAAGAGATGAAAAATGTATTACTCGTGTGCTGAAGCTTTGCTGATGGCCTGATGACGTCACGCGTTTAACCGTACTGAACAGATAAGCGCGGATCTCAATTAACGGTAGCAAAAGGAAGTTTGGATCGGAAGATCATCGGCAAATCTTCCTGTGCATTAGAGTTCTGAGGTTATAACAAATATGTTAAGTAAGAATAACGATCTTTACCTTATCCATGTCGGTGCTGGCATACTGGTAGAGTTTGTTGTTAGAACTGAATATGATGAGAGCAATCTCGCAGTCGCACAGCACGCTCAGCTCGTACGCTTTTTTCATCACACCGAATTTGCGCTTGTTGAACGTAACCTGGAAATACAAGATGTTGGAACTCAGTCTACGTTTATAGCTGACTAGTTGTTCCCATGCGGCTTCATCCGCATACAATTATAAAAACTTTGTTTCATTGTTTACATTTGTCAAAATTTCCATTACTATAACAATCTTGCTTCCTTAATGTTGGCAGCTTGTAGTTTATGTTCCCATTCCCATATGAATTAATATACCCCCTAAATTTAATAGCGTGCAAATACATAGCCTAAAACATGTCGTAAGTGTAGAACTTTTTATTAATGAAATTATTCAAATGTATACTGTGATTGCTGACATCCTACGCCACGTAGTAGTGTGTGTTTACGCTTTATTATATTTGTATAGATGATCGTATGAGATCTACTGCTGACAGAAAAGTTGAAGTTTTCAGTAGAGGTATTTAAATTACGATTTAATAAAACTAGACATTCAATGTGATACACTCAAACCATAGACAAGCACGATATCTATTTAAACAATTTTATTTGAGTGCAATTATCGAAAAAAAAGTGTAATAAAATATAGTAATCGTTTACTTCGAAATTGTGCACTGGTATAAGATAAAAATAATGTTGTTCAAATAATATTAAAAAAAATATAATATTTTAAGGAGTTTATTGATTTAATAATTGAAGCACCTATTTAATTTTTATGCTGAACACTTATTTGATATTGATCAGTAAAAAAAATATTTTTTTATTACGCTGGTTAATCGACGAAACCAGTTCGTTATAACATTTATGATCGGTTACGATAAAAGTTCAAAATTTTTTTTATATAATTTTAAAAGCAGTTAATTGGATAAATATCTTTGAATGGAGGATATTTTGTAGACGTAAGGACTTTTTCTGCGTATAGTTACAAGTTTTAAGAATTTCTCTATAGTGTTTTTAATGGAAGAAAATATGTAACCTGATACATGAAGCTAAATTCCCACATTAATTTTATGATTTGAAAAAATTCGCCACAGCATTTAACAAATTTATATTATAATAAAACCGTTTTAAAAATTACCGGTATTGCGACAGTTAACGGCAAAAGCTTAAGAAAATAATAAAACGGTAATTCAAATTTTATTGAATTCTGAAGTGGATTGTTGATTCATTTACGGCCGAACACTGAAACGTCATTTAAATGTGGGACGGCGTCTTAAGTGATAAGGCTACGATTAAACTCAAAGTTGCATTAAAATCTTGACGTCTGTCAGTTTGAATATATACGAAGCAATATGTTAAAGATTCGTTTCACTATCCGCTGGTTTATTCGATTTTTAGTGAATACGACCAACGTGGTTATGGTTCCTTAGTGAAAGTTAAATTAATACAAGTTATTGTTCCGTCGCATTTATTGGGTCATGGACGTATACATTAATTTATGATAATATTTATTATGTGTCGTCGAATTACGATTTGAAATTCCACATTACCACGTAATTACGCACGCTGGTGGTTCCGTTTTGTGGTTATTTGCAACCAATTAATTTAATTTTGTTTTGTTTTCCTTAAAACTAAAAGTCGATGAACACCGCTGTTTTATCTCTTCAGCCCCGCATTATTTGTTACTGCGTTGATAAACTTTTATATAAGTCGTTATGTTATAATTAAGTATTGAATAAATTTTATTAAGTATGTATAATAAAAAATGAATGAACTCAAAGAGGAGCATAATCATTGTTTGATTTTTGTGAGTGCTTTTTTCGTTTGAATAGCATTATCATCTTAATTTTCGGTAGAAAAATGAACAAATTAATAAAATAATCTTTCAAATTACCATCATATTTTTTTATTAATATCTATAGCAATACAATATGTAAAAACTCAACGCATAGCAGTCGATAGGTTCCGAAATCTGTAACTATGAATACAAAAACGATACAACAATTCGTTAACGATATTGTAAATGGTATTAAAATAAGACAAATAAACGGTATAGTAATACAAACGTAGATTCAGGGTCAAATTGACCGTCAAAATGCAAGATTGACCTTCGCAACTACCATTTCAGTCGTCTGACTCCTCTATTACAAAACCATCTAGCTATGAACTTCCCCACCGACTTGGTTCAGTCAAAACATATGAATTGAGAAAGGGTTATACCAGGGACAGAGATCTCTGTAAACTGGTCGTTAATACTATACAAGTATAATCGTATAATTAATTAATTACTAACGGGAGCGGTCATTGTCCCTTGGCGATAATGTTTTGCAGTGGGAGAGCGAACCGCATCTGTTGACGGGACGCTGAGGTCATATTACCCTTTGCAACCTTGTGTGTTCGTTTATATTCCCCGGATAACTTCACGCTTTACTTTTTTAATTGCTTTGAAACTTGTACTCTTACGTCAGCACGTTTCATGTTCTCTTGTTTCTTGTACTTTTAATATGTGCCAATTAACAAAAATACTGGTTCGTTTATCGATTTCGCAAAGTGTTTTAAAAAATATAAATCAATGTTGACATGTTGATGTTGATAAAGATGATCTTAATGGCGCCGACAAATTGTAAAATGGTGGATAAAATACATTCATTTAATTATTACATTTGAAATATATTTATGTACTTTCTAAAGTGAAAAGTCTTAATGTAATATTGTCAAGTATTTTGTTTATTATTAAATACCATCAGTATTTTTTTTAGTTACGTTACGTATGTAGAGGTAGCTGAAATTTTACGAGCTCATAGAATGAACGTTTCGAATTAACATATAACAGTTAAATAACCTTTAATTATTTCTGTCACTTCTTATAAGGGATCAAATAGACTGTAAATTTAAACGAACCTGCCGATTCCGTTCGTCTGTGATCCGGGATATTTGTATTTTCTTCCTACCCATGGTGGCAGCAATCTTGAAGGGGGTGTAGGGAGCGGGGCGAGTGACAAGTGGCCGGCGAGCGGGCTGCTACTCTAGACGTCAACAGCTGCTATCTGTAAACGACAAATTATAAATCAATACAAAAATAATTTACCTTATTAAAGACAAAGTGTTACATTTGTAGAGTTGCAATTAGACTCTTAAAAAGAAGACTTCAGCCCACCTCAGCCTACCTTAAGTACTGTTAGGTCTAGAATTATTTCGGTCCCATCGATTCGTATTTACGTTACGGCAAAAATGTTCATATTCTAATATGACTGTATCTGTGTTTTACGATATTATAATCTCACTTGAGATCTTAAAATGCGTGTTTAAAAGCGGATACTAAATATTTATCTTGTAGTATAAAAATAAAACAGTTTTATATTTTGTTTTGAATCACTGAGAGATATTTCGAATACAAGATATTGTGATGGAGAAACAAAACAAAACGCTGATGCCGTATACTGATTAGGTAAAAAACGGGGTCATGTGGGTTGATAGTGGGGGTCATTATGCAAATCTGTGCGCGCCGTGTACTGTGTAGTCTCATGATATGTATTATGTATACGGTAATGTTGACAACTTGCTACCGTTCGATATGTTTGTCGAATGAATAATAAACTCGGAACTAAGTTTTGCGTCGCCAAAGAAAATTGTCCCGACTTTTGTAATTTGCCTATAATGGCGTTCAATTGAAAGCATTTATGAAAACTTTATTCTGCGCAGTTGTAATACATCGGATATTTGCTGCAGTTTTTGTTAATTTTTTTTAAAATAAGTAAGAATAATTTTAAGAAATACATCTTCATGAAATTGTTTTTCGTTTCTTATTTGATTCTTGTTAGATTTTAAATATACAATAACAGTTTTCTTGTGTTTAAGTATTAATATTCAAGTTAAATTAGAAAAAAAATTAATACGCGAATATTTGTCAATCTACACCGCGTAATATAAAAAAATGTGTACAATTTCCGTATAATAATAATTCACAAATGAGTAATACATGCTACAAATATTAAACTTGTAATTTTGATGTCACTTACACCTGCTTGCTTACAGTAGACAGGTGAATCTTATAGAACACGCTACGCCACTTGAATGACAGCTAAATAAAAAGGTACACCAAGTTCTTTTAATAAAATATCACTATTAATTATTTTGGTATAGGACTGTTCTCTTTACTAAAAGTGTATTCGATTGAAGCAAACACTGTCCGGAATATTACCAACATTGAGAGATGAACGAGTAATTCGAGAGATCGATTTAGGTAAATAAGAGTATGTACTTGTGATAATATACTTGGTTAATATACAATACTTGATAATTCATTGTTTTTTTTTATTTTACAATTAGTTATTATGGTTCTACTATTTTCGCCTGCGACTCGCGTGGAATTAAAAAAAAACAAAAGTAAGTAGCCTATCTGTTCTTCCAAACTATTTTCTACATCTGTACCAAATTTCATCGAAATCTGTTCAGCCTAAACGGCTACAAACTCTAACAAACGTCCATCCATCCAAACTTTCGCATTTATAATATTAGTATGATTATGCTAACATCTAAACTTATTGTGTAAATTATTAATAAAAATCTACCGTAATTATAATAAATATAAATGTGAAATTATTCGCGATACAAAATATTTATAACATTACATTTTACAATAAGGTAACACGCACATATGACGTCTTTCAGGTTCCATAATTAATATAATTATAGAAAAATATTCATATTATAAAGTTAATATTAAATGCCGCCAACAAGAACATAGTACCAACCTTTACTGTTTAAATTAATTTATTACTTAGGTTATAATGTGTTCCATTTTGTTGTGATAAATCAATTACATTATCGCTTGCTCGTACAAATATCTGTTGCTTTGAGTGTGGTATGGGGTATGCAGGGGAGAATACGTATGCAGTTTGTGTTTGTACGCGAGGGGGATCAGTTTCCCGTTCAATGCCCATGTGTTTAAAGGATTCAGTACGCGCGTAACTGTATGAAAAGCTGGTTGTGTGCGAACTTTGCCTGTGTGAGGGGGTTTGACCCCCGCGGGGAGGATGGGGCGATAGGGTACAGGGTGCCAGGTCAGTGTGTTTATAGGTGGCTCGTTCCATAGCACTTGCATTTAATCAAGCATTACCGCTTTCCCGCCTATGAGTAATCGCAGGTTAACATACGTATGAATTAGCAGTAAATCACAATGTAAAAAAATATAGTTACATTTGTATGGTATACGATAGTGTTAAATGATTTGAATATGGAAGTATTCAATGAACCGAGTCCCTTTGTTACAGGTTTGAGTATCTTCGTTTTAGTCGACTTACAACCAAAAAGTTAAACTAAAAGTATTCTAATTTAGTGTTTATTACAGTCGATAGTCGATTACAAGTCATAATGGTGATTTAAAGCCGTAACTCTTAATAGATAAAAGGTTTTTATATTCATTTTTAGCATTTTCCCCTCTAAATTATGTCATATTTTGAGTGACGGTTAAATATATATTTTTTTTAATTTTCATTAATGTTTACAATGTCTCTCAAAGAGTTGATACGCCTCTCTCCTGCGTTCATGGCTCATTACATTTTTTCTTGCGAGTATAATTTGAGCGTGGAAGCGTGAACGGTCGGGTCGAGCTTTGAAGTATAAGCAGAAAGTCCTTTTACGTCACCCGGGAACGCCAAATTAACGTTATTAATTGATTACGTCGAAAAGGTTTTTTTTTTATATTTCTAGTTTAGTTATTAAAGGAAATAAATCATAGCTCTTTGAAATTGAACTTAAAATGTTATATCGTAGATGTAACATGTAACATATAACTTAAACATTTTTCTATAAATTATTTTAAGGTAAAAAAAAAAGTTAAAGACGGACTTGTACGAGGCTCTGAGGCCAGTCAAATTACGGAATCACTTCACGAATTTATTTAGTAAAGGTATGATAATGCTTAGTAAATCAATAGTGACACGTGTATACAGAGATTAAAGCACAATCCCGTAGTTGAGGTGACGTGGGCGAGTTCCCGGGGACGCCCACGCGCCCACTTACCCGGGAGCACCGCTGCGCAGCCATCGATCCGTACCTCTTACGCTTTTACCATTTGTCTGATGGATTATGTGAAAATTTAGTGATTTTATATAAGTGTAACAATTACAAATTAAATTATAAGAATCTCAATACAAGTTTGATTATTCGTTTTGCCCGACATTCTTTAAAGCGTAGATACTATTTTGAATAAGTGACAAATTTAACAATGTTTAAATTTGGTACTGGGTTTTAAATGTAAGACATTATTAGTATTGCAATGGCCGACCTAAGGCACTTTCGTGCATTATCAGAGCGCCTTTGTGTCGGCCGACAATGTTTTGACGCTGCAAAAAAAGGTTTAAATCCCGTAAAATTTACATTAATAAATCATAATACATTTTTGAGTACACATTGTGATTTTTTATAGTTATATCATAATTTAAGAACTAAAAGCTTGTCAAGAAGCTAATTAATAGCTTCGAATATTAGCTTCAAAAATACTAATTATGGAAACATTTCGTAGAAAAGGTTTCATTTGACAGACAAGAGCCTCTTACGTCACTCCTACGTGTACATCACAAGGTATTATATATTATTTAGTAGATTTATTTATAGAAATTACAACTGAAATACCCATTGCTATTACTTCGCTCGAGATAAATTGTAATAGAATGTTTATAATAACATAAAATTATCATCTCTGTTCATATCCCACTTAGAATCACCGCGTTATGTTTTAGTCCTGTATATCTTCCGTAATCTCAGCCATTCTTAATCATGTCACCTTTTACACAATCCATCCATCAGTCATCGTCTACCAGTGTAACCTCTCTACACTCAAAACTAAAGTCCTCTTAGTGACACAAAATAGCAGGGTCAGTTTCAGCATTACCAGTATAAACCCATACAAAAAAGACGAAACTTAATGTCCGGCGCCCTGGGTGGACGCCCCTCCTCGCTTGGTAGACCAACTAACTTCCTAACAATAATCGGCAAAAAAGTCTTATAATAAAAAAAATCTTACGTTCCCGTTTTTCAATCACTTCGATATTAAAAGATTTCTAACTTTTCCGTGCTAGAAACAATAACAGTATTGTATCTAAAGCAGAGTCTGGTGAGCGTGTTGTATAATGGTACCAAATGTCATCGAGCTTATAGATCATCGTTTTGGCTTTATTCCCTCACAAACACCTGTTCTATCAGTCTATAGACATGTGACCTTGCCGGGACGAGGGGGGGGGGGCGCCCACGCACACGACGTCACACCGCAATGCACACACTCGCCCACACAATCATCGAACACACATACGTAACCTATCTCGCTTATTTGCAGTGTTGCCGCACTAACCACATTGTTGTGGAATTGTATTGTTTCATTTTATAATAAACAACTGATCGGTTTGGATTTGTGGAAATTAGTATTGTCTATTAAACTGTGACAAAGAATATTAATTACATCGTTATAGAGTTTTTGATATTTTTTAATTATACTAATAATACTTCATACTAATATAATAAATGTGAAAGTTTGGATGGATGGATAGATGTTTGTTAGAGCTTGGAGCCTAAACAGGTGAACGGATTTGGGTGAAATTTAGTATAGATGTAGAGGATAGTCTGGAAGAACACATAAACTACTCAGTTTTTTTTTACATCCACGCGGACGGAGTCGCGGGCGATAACTAGTAATATTATAAATGTGAAAGTTTAAATGGATGGATAGATGGATGGATGGATGGATGTTTGTTAGAGTTTGTAACCCAAATTTTGAACTGATTTCGATGAAATTTTGGTATGGATGTACAGGACAGTCTGGAAGAACACTTAATCTACTTCACTTTTGTTTTTTTTTTAAATTACACGCGGACGGAGTCGCGAAAACTGCATAAAATTAATGGATCTTCGTCATTATAATTCATTCATGAAGTAATGACATATCAGATACCTTTTGATGAAATAAATTAAAAAAAAAATAGGGTTTCTTGTTTTATTATGGTCGACGACTTATTAAAATATAAATTCATTCTATTCATTTGTTTGTAAC